ATCCTCCAGGCAGAAATGCTGGCCAGGAACGATGGGGTTTGTCTTCCAACATTTACAGAGTTATGGGCCTGGCAGCGGGGGGGGGGGAGGGAAACGGTTGTCGGGCACTGCCAAAATCATGGGATGCTCTCTATTTCAAGCAGAAACTTTCCTGTCCCTTAAAAAAGACGAAGGTCAGACTCGTCCCCGAGATAAAGCCTCAGCTTCTTTAGGAAGTCAACCTGTCAAGATGCAAACTCGTTATCTCCGCTCAGACATTGATCCGGTTAATTTAGATGATTCTGATAGCCTCTCGCTCAAGATGGAGGTGACTCACCTCCTTTCCCCCTCCCCCCTTGCTCCTTCAACAGAGGAAGCTGCAACATCAAGGAAAACCTAGAAAACCTGATCAAGTTAAGACCACCACCACCTTCTTCTTCTTCAGCTGGAGAGAACACAACACCACCGTGGCCATCCATTCCCAGAAAGTAACAAGAAGCACAGATCTATTTACCAAAGGCAATCAGTCACTGGGATCCATGCTCCCCAGTCTGGATCCCTGGGCACTGCTGCACTACAAATCCCAAAATCCCCCAACATCTGGCAGTGCTGGCTAAAATGTCTAGGAGATGAAGTGAGGCAACAGCTGGAGACCCAAATTTAGGAGTTTCTGATTAAGATCCTGGGAGAGGTTAAAGCTGGAGGTTGGCTGTTGCAAGCCTTCTCCCCCCCCCCTTGCAGGTCATGCCCTGACCTCCCTCCGTCCTCAGCTGAAAGGGTGGACATGGGGAAGAACGTGGGCCACCCTGAAGAAAGCGAAGGGAGAAAATGGAGAAGTAGGAACTGGACTGAAAAGGCACGCAGATGTAAGGATGAGGTGCAGAAAGGGGCTACAGAAATCTCCTTTTCTGAAAGGGCAAAATGCTTGGTGGGAGAACTCGCGATAGATCAACAGAAGCACTTTTTTGAGGGATACGGCTTGCGGTGGCCTGGCCTCTTCCCCAGACACCAGGGACGGCCAGAAACGGGTTCCTCTTGCATTCACGTTCTGCTTGGGGGCTTCCCATCGGGGCACATCTTGGGTGAAAACGGAAGGCTGCAGCAGAAAGACCTGGCAGAGGAAGGAGGCCCATTTGACATCCTTCTAAGCCATGGCGTTGGGGCCCTTGCGCTTCTTGGTTTTCCCCTCCCCTCTCCAGGTATCATTGTGTGAAGGATCCTCCTCTGGGCATCCCCCTCTTTAAGGACCGACTCTCAGAGTGGCTCTCCTCCTCTGGGATCAAGACCGCTCTCTGCTTTGCCCTTCCTCTCGGAGGGCTTTGGTTTGGCCACCCTGTTTTCACCACAGAACTGAACCCAGCCTGCCTGGCTGTGCCCCGAGTGGCAGCCGCCACGTGGAGAGCGGTCCAAACCTCTCCCAGGGCTGCCTCCCTTCCACGCTGTGTGGAAGACCCAGGGAAAATAAGTAGGGTTTTGTCCCGCCCGTGAGCCCTTTTGTGTGGAAGCCAAGTTACAAGACTCGAGACCTTTCTCTACCACCCTCTTCCTGCCATTGGCTGCCAGGTTCGGGTGGCTTTGAAACAAGCTGATGATCTATTGATAGAAGATAAAATCAGCTATGACTTCCAAGCATAGATGCAGTCTATCTCCAAACCTACTTCAGCAAGCAGAAAGGGCAAGAACTCCATTTTAGTAGCTGCCCACAGATCTCAGACCGAACATGGCCGGAATTACAATGTTGGGTTTGACCAGTCTTGGCCTAAACCACACGGGCCGTTTCCATGGGGTTCCACATAGCATGACTGGACTTCACAAGTGCCTCCCCCCCCCTTGCTTTCAATTGCCCCAGAAGAAAAGGGGTGCAGCCAAAACAGAGATGGGCAAGGGCTTTGGGGGAAACACGTCCAACATTTCCTTAGACATTACACACCGTGTGCTAGTGAATTGTCAGCCTGTTCACCTTACCCAACTTTGTGCTTCTACCCTTGCAACAAGACTGCAGGAACGAATTTTTTAAAAAGAAAGAGGAAGATACACAACTGCGTCCTCCCACCTTGAATTTGCAGGCAGGGATGGATTCAAAACCAGGCAAATCTCTCAACGAGGGCCGAGGCGATCAGAGGAGAATCCGAGCTCTTTTCTTCTTTTTCTCGGATCTGGTTTTGGGATTTTTCGGTAGACTGAGTCGTCGCTGCTGCTGCGGCCGTGAAACAGCCTCGGTGTTTGATGCGCCGAGAAATTATTTGCTGAAAAGCTAATAAGTGGCTCTCAAGTCAGCAAACGCCTCGCTAAATTATCGTCAACTCTTTAGATAAGTGACAAACAAGATTGGTTCAAAAGCTCTTGGGCTCGTTGAAGCAAAACACAAGAAACCTCGCATGCCGTGGGTTTGGGAATGGCAGCCCCCCCACCCCACCCCGTGATTCTTGCAAGAGAGGAAGGGCGTATTTGCAACTGCCTTTTACCCCAAGAATGGAACTGGGGGTGGGGGAGATGCCCTTTTGTGCCTCCACTTCCTGAAAGAATAATAATAATAAAGTCCTCCTTCGCGCCTTCAGCTGGTGCAATTCAATTTCTCCATGCAGGGTAAGAGGCAGGACGATGAATTTAAATTTATTAGAAAAGGCAGGATGATGGATTTACATTTACTAGAAATGTTTGCTTATTGCTTCTTGGCCCACCAGATCCTCGGTCAAGTCCTTACACAACACATGAACCAAAGCCCTCAGAGTTACCATCCTTTATTTATGCAAAATATTAAACATTAGCTCCTTCGGGGGAATGTGGGAGGTCTTCCTTATAGGTTCTCTCTGTTGCTCGGTAGCCCAATTTCATAAATAACGACACCCCTCTCAACACCCAGAGCTGGGCTCAAGCACAGCAAAGATAAAAGCCCAACGGATGAGGAGACAACGTGGATTTTAAAATGAGTCTTCCCCACGCCAGCCTTCCCTTACAAGCTCCATCAAGAACAACGCAGGCAGCCAGCTTTAAAAACAGCGTTACACAGAAAAGACCCCATGAAATGAGCCCAGCCCCGACTGGACATCCCTCCATTCATTACAAATAGCTTTTTAAGGAGACAGGCCAAGCCACGGAAGTTAAGCCTGCCGAGGGATATCACTCCACGATAGCCAACTGAGACTGAACCTCCATGGCCCAAGGCAGCATACCTGAGCACAGCCAGCTGCACCCGAGCACAGAGGACCTGACCTTGCAGAGATAAAGTGGACTAGCAGCTTGTATCTAGATTTTGAGCAACCTCTGAGAAATTTACTTTTTGAACCACCACTGCTGGCTATGAGATTCCGGGAAATGCAAAAAAAAAAAAAAAAAAGGAACTTTTCCCAACATTTGGCAGGTCTGGAATTTTCTATTCAGCCAGATCTCCCTTCACCATTATCTGCTAAAGAAGAGAACAGCTACATGCTTGCCTGCGGCGCTGTTCCGGTTTATAGGTCTCTACCACTGATGAATACAACGCATTTCCCCCTTTGAGACACTGTTGCCTATTTAAACATGAAACGCACTACAAACTCTCCTGAGCCCAACCTTCTGGTCTCATGGATTGCAGTATGGCACGACAACGCATCTCCCTCCAGGACCAAGGGTTCCTCCTTCCCATTCCGACAGAACTTGGGAGGGAAAAAAACACCTCGCTTTTGGAGACCCATCACACATCTCGAATTCTAAACCCTGGGGCCAGAGACCAGGCTGGCTGGGATATTGTGGGATCACATGCCCCCCCCCAAAGTAGCTTTCCCAAACTCTGCATGATTTCATGCTGTACAAGCAAAGGCCTTCAAGATTCCTTTGACGGTGCTGCTGACAAAACGCTGTTGGGGTTACGTCTAGGCTAGACCTGTATATTTATAAGTCTTTGGTTTGTCAGAGGAGCATGGAATCTGTCGCTGTGATTGTAAGCGTTCTCTTCCTCCCCACCTCCGCAGAACTACAGCTCCCAAGATGCTCTGGGGAAGGGGCAGACCCTTAATCCACCTTAAATGAAGAGCACAGATAAATTCTTTTTAACAAGGTGCTCTCAGAAGTCACGCTATCCAAAGGGCCTTTTGCACCCAGGCAGGCAAAGGGCTGGCCCAGAAATTCGTTCATGTGGAGAACGATAAAGAGACATAACCACATCTTCTCCTGACCAGAGAGGGTGGTAGCAGTGATGGGTGACAACCAAGGAAGAGCGAAAGGAACAGTCTCTCAGCAAATGGTGGCACCGGCCCACTAAAAGACACTCAGAACAATGCCCATGTGCTTCATCATTCAGATCAAGACTCGGACTGGAGCTGCCCAGAACTTATTTTGCTTTTGTCTTTGAAGATCGTCGACTCAGGCCTCTCGAGCCCTCCCAGGTGTGGGGGTCCTCCTGGATTACAAGCCTCTGCCAAGTCTTTTCTTTTCACCCCTGAACTATTTTTATCATTATTTTAAAGAAGGGAAAGCTGGACGCTGTCCCTTCCCTGGCGAGTTTTTTGGGTAGGAATGGAATTTGACCCATGAGAGATTTTCCGACGTTGCCCAGTCTTGAGCTAAAGAGGGAGACCGAGAAATCTCCTCGTCCCCTGGAGCTGCCCAGAACTTATTTTACTTTTGTCTTTGAAGGGTGTTGACTCATGCCTCTGGAGGCCTCCAAGGTGTGGGGGTCCTCCTGGATTACAAGCCTCTGCCAAGTCTTTTCTTTTCACCCCTGAACTATTTTTATCATTATTTTAAAGAAGGGAAAGCTGGACGCTGTCCCTTCCCTGGCGAGTTTTTTGGGTAGGAATGGAATTTGACCCATGAGAGATTTTCCGACGTTGCCCAGTCTTGAGCTAAAGAGGGAGACCGAGAAATCTCCTCTACCCAAGGAAGCACCATCTACGCCAAGAAGAGCAAACCAACTGGGGGCTGCCCACGTCCTCTCTGCTTTCCTCACTTCCAGCCCACGAGGAGGGCAACGTATATCGTCGTTGACAGCGCACAAACACAGAGAGATTATTATCTAGGTCATAACGCCACTTTTCTCCTACCTTCTCTGCCATGATCATGGAAGAGCCCCCATGGATTCCCAAAATGGGAATAAAGGTCTGTGACGAAATAAAATCCAAAATCTGGCCAACAGCCTCCTGGTCAGTGTCGTCTCCGAAAACCACCCCGTGGATCTTGGTGCCGGACATCAAGTCACAGACGTTGGTGATGATGCTTTTGGGGTCAGTCTGGTTGACCAGAAGGGGCACCACGTTGACATCAACGGAGACATCGCCCGACAGATCCCTGGTCCAAAGCGCCCGGACGTCTCGTTCCGTGCTGAACTGCGTCCTCCCCAGAATGACGGCAATGTTCAAGATGGGGTAGGTCTTCTCTGCCCCACGGACCAGGGCCAAATCGACTAAAAATGCCTGGAGCACCAGGAGATTCCAGCAAACGCGGGCCATCTTGAGCAGCTCCATGCCCTGTCAAAAAGGTCACATCATCATCACCACCGTCATTGCATAAAAGACCAGTATAAATCGCAACCATCTTTTGCTCCTCCAAGCGGGAACCAGGGCCGCCAGCCAGCAAGCAGGCATCTTTCTTAAACCAGCTGCTTCCTCCTGGAAGAGGGGAACCTCACCCTAACGTGACCCAGCGCTGACCTCGCGGAGGACCGGACGGGGAGACGGGCCACCAAATTCCGAGCGTCAGAAGGAGCACCCTCTTGGCCCACGCTGCGTCAAAGCCCCGACAGATCGAAGGGGCCTAGAGAAGCGGGGGGGGGAGGGAGGCACAACCGGCTCCTTTGAAAGGGTGCCGTTGGGGAGACCGGGTCGCTGAGGCATCTGTGGAGGAATTCTGTGGACCAGGCCCCCTCCGCCGCTGGCCTGCTTGCCTCCCTCTCCTCACCGCGGCTGCCTCAAGGAGGACTGGTGTGAGCGTCCCCCTCCCTCCCTCCCTCTTCCCCTCCCCACCCCTTCCTCTGTCCAGAAATTATATTTTATTCCAAGACTCATTTCAAGCTGGCTGGCTGGCTGGCTGCTCACGCAGAACAGGAGGACTCCATTTCTGGAGGAGAGTCGGGGCACGCATCATCCTAACCTATTTCTCACTCCTTCCTCCTCCTCTCATTCTCTCTCTCTCTCTCCCTGATCAACTTCTTTGGCTGGATGTCTCAGACAGAGCATCCTCTACCCATCCCGGCTGCTTCGGGGTGGGGGGGGTGGGGGAAGCAGCCTTGGCTTTCCACAGAGCAATTTGGGGAGGGCAAAAGAGGCAGAGAAAGGCAGACCCATGCAGAGAAGTGACCCAGAGCCCTCGGCGCCTCTCCCCCAGAGATGCTCTAGGAAGAGAGGGAAACTCATCCCACCTCGACATCTTCAGATGGGTTTCCTCCTAGCTTGCTTATGGGGAGACGGATAAATGACCCTCTGCTAGACTTGTTTGGACAGTCTACCGGGAAAAAAAGGAGGGGGTATTTTTCCCTTTCTGCTCTCAAGCCCTTCCAAAAAAAAAAAAAGCAGGAGGGGGAACACACAAACACCCACTATCCAATCTTTTGCCTTTCTCTTCCTCTGCACCAGTCCCAGGACCTCAGCTGGAGGCCCAGGCGGCCTGGGGTGCCCCGTCCCTCCCCACGGCCCCCACCCCATTTGCCCAGCCTTCATTTGGATTCAAAACTCAGCCCGCTGTCTGTTGCAGGGCAGATTTCTTTTTCCCACCATCACCACCTTTTTCCATCCTGCTGCAGTGAAATCACCCCCGGGACGAGGAAAACAAAAATAAATAAATGGATGAATAAATTAAACGGGGTGGGGGAAGAGGCCGGATAAAACCCATCGTAAGCCTCCTTCGGCCACTTGCAAGCCGCCTCTTCTGGCAGGGGTCAGGGATGGTGTGTAATGCCAAACCAACCCCCCCCCCACCCACCCCCAGGTACAATGGCATCTAATTATATATATATATGTTTCATGAATGCACCAGAAGAGGCAAGGGAGGGTTTGCACCAACTGGAAAGGGTGCGCAGGCATGCAAAGCACGCCTGTGCACAGAGACGGAGCAAGAGAGAGGCGCCACGCCATCCTGCGCCGCTTGCCTTGGCTACGTAGGGAAGAGCGTGTGGGGGATTCAGGGAAAAGCAGTGGCTTGCTTTTCTGCCGGCTCTCCCTTCCTCTCTGGCGCCGGCTCCATTCATGGGGGCCAAAGGAAAGCCAGGCCGAGAGCGCCCCCCAGCGCCCGTCTCCCCGATACTACCAGCATCTCTCTCTCTCTCTCT